AATTTGTGCTTGAGGAGGAACTCATAATTCCTAATGTCTAGAGCATTAAATCTGGTGAAAGTACAGTGGGCAAGATGGGAACACTGATGGGTGAGAATTCCTAATCTGAAAATGGGGCATTCAAATTTTGTGGGGGTACAGGCGGCAGGATAGGAATGTTGATGGTATGTTGCACGACGGGACTCCTCCCACAGCGGGCGGAGCGTCCGTGAAAATTGCTAGTCTGAATACAGCGCGTTGAAATTTGTTACGAGTTCAGGGGATAGGATTAAGACACTGATGGTAGGGGGTAGAAAGTGTCTGGACTCGCCCGCGGGAGGACAAATTTAATACGAAAAAGAGAAGAACCAGGCGTCAGTCAGGCGATGACTGGTTTAATATAAAAACCTACTCGGTTCTTCTTCAGGGTAATCCGCTCCTCGGCTGACTCTCTGGATTGAACTCGCTGATGAGTTCAATCTACGAAGTAACTGGCTTAGCCGTATACGAGTGGACTCACTGACATCCTGAAAGTAAGTTCCCATTGGAATTTGAGGAATTGTTGAAAGAACAAATAACAAACCTTGCTCTCGCTGATTTTTCTTTGCAATACACTCAGTTGGCTTTCAAGCTGAGCAGATTTTATTTCGGCCTCGGCAAGGAGCTTGTCAACAGAGTCTTCTGGCCCGTCGTTATGCTTCTCCACCTCGAAACCATTCCCTTCATTCTTGTCTTCCTAAAAGGATTACATGGTGCTTCTGTTCAAATAACCCATTAATTTAGAGGATTTTACTGATTTTATTCAATAAGCGCTTCAGAGATATCTGAAAAACAATTAGGATTTGCGAGGAATGAGTGGACGAGTTGCTCAGATAATGGCAAGGTGATAAGGAAAAAAGTACAAGAACAGCTATTTGCTAAAATATCTGGTCTAGAATCGACTCTAACGGAAAACCTAATCGCCTGGATTTTTACCATCAGCTCTGGAAACCATGTAGGGACTGATTGCACCAAATATGACAAGTGGGTTCACATAGTAGTTTAAGGAAAATAGGCATGCAGTGGTGTATTTAGTAGTGGGATTTCGCAACTAAATAAATAAAACTAGCAAACAGGGCACGTAGACAACAAGTATAAACATAAACAAAGTAAATATTATTCTGATATCGCTTTGAAGATTACTTAGTGAAAGACTATACCATGTCATTGATAAGAAATACGACAGTAATGCGTTGGTCACTGCCAGAGCAACTGCCACCCGTTTTTGGCTCGTTATCGACCATGACTGGTCAACAGAAGTATTTGATATTCTTCGAAATTCCTATAGAAGTCATCACATTTTGAGAGTGCTACACTAAAGGCGTTGGAGCCAAGCTGGTTGGATAGTCAGGAAAGGTTCCTCCGAGTCTTCATGGAGACTCTTCTCCTTTTATGACGATCACTTCATGAACACTTGCCAGGGCAGAAATTTGAAGACGAAAAAATCGTTGTCTGAGAAACAGGCTATTGATTATTTTTTAGTTTAGTTTTACTACTGTTTTATTTTTCTCCTGCTTTTTATTTACTTTTGTTGCCTTCTACCAAAACATCTGAGTCATTGCTTTTTTCAGTATTCATTTTTTATTGATTATTTACAACTGCTGCATTTTTTCAGTGTTTTTTACCCGTTTTTTGTAATTCCGTTTGTATATCTGTTTTTTCTCATAAAATCTATGGATATCCATGGCCATTGAATCAAGAAGCCGTTCAAAGCAAGTAAAGCGATTTTGAGGATTAACAGAAGTAACTTTTCATGAGAGTAGTGTAGGAGTCATGCCCAACAAGAAACCGTGTAAGTAAGAATGGCTTAAAGACACTGTTCACGAAAAAATGGTTACGGAGATTTGCACATGGTTTGAATTCGAAGCCCTCTCTGACACCATTTGTGCAGGAATGAGGTCGGAAAACATCTGGATAGGGCACAATAAGGGCAGGAACAGTGGGGGACGGGAGGCCTCCGCCCTTCGCTCGGCTGACTACGAGATCTAATTGTCCTTCACCACATTCGCATTGGAGCGAAGTTGGTGAAAAGTAGATAAGCTGGTTGGCAAATTGCCAGACGCAATGTGTTGTCTGCTATTGCACACAACACACTGCGTCGCCTTCGTGCACTCGCCCGAACGTTCCCTAACCGCCGTTATTTCATTGTGAAACTCGTCCAACCCCCCTTTTCAGCTTTTTTTGACCCTTTGTAATTCTTTTTGTTCATCGTTTTTTTTNTTTCGTTGTTATCGCTTTATCCTAGAGTAGTTCTATCAATTCCCGTCATAAAAGGGTACCCTAACTTTTTTGTGAACGGTGCCTTCAAGTTGAAAAGTAGCGTTACCAGTAGACCTATCCTACACAATAATTTAGCTTATGAGCATAATCAGACCTTTTCCGACTGTTCATTTTGAACGGTGCGAGACGAATTTTCAGCTGATACGTCGGTCGCCGTTTTGAAAATTGTTTTGTCTCCTCCACTGGACATACTACTATCACCGGCTTGAATTTCACCGATCGAAGAACTTTCTCGACTTTTCTCGAGTTCATGTGCTGTTAGTGAAAGTAAGGGCGAAATACTTGGCAGTAACCAATGATCTTCCATTCGATTACGGTAGAAGTCCTCCTACAAAAAAAAACTTCAGTCTTCAAAAGATAAATCAGGTATAACAGCAGCTAATCTTGCCTTCAGTTCTTCAATGGCATTCATCAGTTGTGTTCCAGTGAGTCCTTCGATCCGTATTTGGTCCTGAAAGGAAAAAGAAAGTTTGACGAAATAGTAATTATTATGAATTTTTAAAAATCCACTCCAAGTTGTCGGCTCCATTGGGTGAACACGCTACAGACACGTATTGATTCTCCAGCGGTAGAACACGCTTCACGAATGACCGGTACCAAATGCTCAATTTCAGTGGCAACTTTCTGAAAATTAGAAAAACAAGTTC